CTGAATGAAATAGTCTATATAATGACTTGCTGATCTCCCCAGCAATGCTGTGCAAAGAAATTGCTTAGTCAGAAACCACTGAGGATGCATTAATAGAGATCTTGTAATTCCATGCAGAGCTGGATAAGGAGGATAGTAATATACCCAGTTAAAGGTGACACCTTAGCACAATGGTGTTTTATCTCTACTTCTCCTGACATCTCCTCCACTGCTAGAGGCCCATAGACATGTCTGCCCCAAATTTTATCTTTAATGTCATGCTGTCCCTTTAAATTCGGCAAATCTAAAATCAGCTCATGCTTCTGACATTTTTTTTTCCAGTGGTATTATTATGCTCACTAGGTCTTCAAACTAATATTTTTAATCTCTTCTTTTTTCCTATCCAATCATTTAGTGATATTTTGTCCTTTTTGATATCTCATATATTGAAACCCCCTGTGGAGTGTACCTGTGGTCAAAGTTAGGTTTATTTAGCTTCTTATAGCAAGGGAGAACACACCCTAGGAAAACCTAGGAAGCATTTCAGTGAGGAGTTGGGAGGGGCTTTGTATTAGATTTGGGCTTATTTCAGATAATTTTGAGAAGGAATTAGAGAAGTAGAGGCCTCTCTCCATTGAATGCTATCAAAAGGAAGTCATTATGCTAAGTGAGATAAGTCAGGCAGAGATAAATACTGCATTACTTCCCTTACATGTGAAATCTAAGAAAAGCTAAACTCAGAAACAGAGTAGAATGGTGGGGTGGGGAAAATGAGATGTTTAAGGGTACAAATGCATCTAGAAGATGAATAAATTCTGGAGATCTAATGCACAGAATACTGATTATAGTCAACAACATTGTATTATGAATTTCAAAGTTGCTAGAAGACTAGATATTAATTATTTTCACCACAAAAAAAGAAATGATAATTATGTGACGTTGATAGAGGTGCTGGCGAATGCCCTGGTGATAATCATATTGCAATATATAAATGTATCAAATTAGCACGTTGTACACTTTACACTTAAATAATGGTTATATGTCAATTAAAAAAAGAACTTAGGGGATTCATTGATTTTTTTTTTGGAGAAAAATATGATTTTATTACTATTCTTTTTAGTACATTTATCTTTTTTTATTTTTATTTTTTTTTCAAATCTTTATTGTTGGATGTAAAATGTATTACAGATGTTCCACATTTTTCCCCCATTGACCCCCTCCTCCCCACTCCCGCCCCCCTCCCACCTTTTCCCACACTATTGTCTGTGTCCATTGGTTATGCATATAAGTTCTTTGGTTTATTTCTTCCCACCCCCCCAACCCCTTTCCCTTTGAGGTTTGTCAGTCTAGCAATGAATTTGTGCTTCTTAATCCCTTCACCTTTTTCACCCTTTCCCCCAACCCCCCTCCCAACTGGCAACCAACAAAATGTTCTCTGTATCTATGAGAATGTTTCTGTTCTACCTGCTCATTTTGTTTGTAGATTCCATTGTTGATAGATATGTATTCATTGCCATTTTGTTTGTTCATACGTTTTATCGTTTTCTTCAAAAAGACCCTTCATCATTTCTTATAATAACGGTTTGGTAGAGATGAACTCCTTTAACTTTTTCTTGTCTGGGAAAGTTTTTATAAGTCCATCGATTCTAAATGACAGCTTTGCAGGATAGAGTAATTTTGGTTGTAGGTTCTTGGTTTTCATCACTCTGAATATTTCTGGCCACTCCCTTCTGGCCTGCAAAGTTTCTTTTGAGAAATCAGCTGACAGCCTAATGGGAACTCCCTTGTAGGTAACTAGCTGCCTTTCTCTTGCTGCTTTTAAGATTCTCTCTTTGTCTTGAACCTTTTGCATTTTGATGATGATGTGTCTTGGTGTGGGCCTCTTGGGGTTCACCTTGTTTGGGACTCTCTGTGCTTTCTGGACTTGTATGTCTGTTTCCTTCACCAAGTTAGGAAAGTTTTCTGCCATTATTGTTTCAAATAGGTTTTCCATTTCTTGTTCTCTCTCTTCTCCTTCTGGCACCCCCAAGATGTGAATGTTGGTACGCTTGAAGTTGTCCCAGAGGCTCTTTACACTATCCTCATTTTTTTGGATTCTTTGTTCTTTTTGCTGTTCTGATTGGGGATTTTTTGCTTCCTTATATTCCAAATCGATGGTTTGCTCCTTGGATTTACATACTCTATTATTGAAGCTGTGTAAATTATTCTTTATTTCAGTTAATGTCTCCTTCAATTCTAACTGTGTATCCATGATTTCTAACTGGTCCTTTTTTATGCTCTTGAGGCCCTCCCTAAGTTCACTGAGGTTCTCACTAATTTCATTGAGCATCCTTATAAGCAGTATTTTGAACTCAGTATCTGTTAGGTTGCTTATCTCCCTTTCGCTTAGTTCTTTTATTGGGGTTTTGTTCTGTTCTTTCATTTGGGACCTGTTTCTTTGTCTCCTCATTTTGGCTGCCTCCCTGTGTTTGTTTCAGTGTATTACTTAATGAGAGGTATGGGGCTCGCTGAGACCAGATGCTGCTCATTTGAAAGAATTTAGGAAAAACCTGAAGCAGGATCCAAGACAGGCCAATCCTATGGTTAAGCAAGTGGCAACAGCTTGGGTGGGCTTGAAAGTTGTGTGGGGCGGGGCCTCAGGGAGTCAGCAGGGCGGGGCTACCAGTGTGAGCCAGGTTGCTGGAGTCCCAGATATGGCTTCTGTCTGCTGCCCCGGGGAAGGGCTCACCAAAGGAACAAAGGCCTCTGACAGCACATCTGTCCCGGAGAAAGACCCCTCTCCAGCCCTCGCTCCAGTGCCAAACAGCTCAGTTCTTCCCTGTATGTCTCTGATGCCCCTCGAGCTGCCTCCCCTCTGAGCTTAGAGGGAGAGAGTCCGATAAGTCCGTGCGCGGGCCCTTTAGGGAGCTGCCTGGGGCTCCAGCTGCCTCAGCTTCCCTGAGCCTCAGTTTTCGCTGGTTTTTCCAGCCAGAAGTTATGGGGACTTCTCTTCCTGGCACTGGAATCCTGAGCGAGGCACCTGGTGTGGGACGGGGACCCCTCAGTCCTCAGGAAGGTCCTTCCCAGCCGCAGGAGCCTCCTGATTTTTATCTGCCACACGTGGGTGTGGGACCAGCCTGTCCCACCGCCGCTGCCTCCACCGCCCCTCCTACCAGTCTGGATGTGGCTGCTGCTTTAATTCCATAGTTGTAGGACTTCCATTCAGCTTGATTTCAGGCGGTTTTGAATGATGGTTGTTCTGTAGTTTAGTTGTAACTTTGACGTGGTTGTGGGAGGACGCGATACTGCGCTTACCTTGACCGGAAGTCACCGGATTCATTGATTTATATTCTTAATAGTTTTTCTCTAAAAGGCAGAGGGAATGGAACAGTGCTAGAGTTGGCATCGGTAAAGAAATAGGAGTCACTCAGAGCAAGGCGAGGGGACACCGCTGTTCTGGGGTCAGCGGCCTGGCCTGCTGTGCTCAGAACATGGTGATGCTGTAGCCTAAGAATTTTCTTCTTTCTAGTGTGAACATTACAATCTGCTTCTCATTTTCTCAAATCTGGTTATTTCTCTCTATGGCCTCATCATTCATCCATGTCTGACCCTACTCCCTCTGGCTGCTGCTTGACGCTGTCCTTCTCACCTCCGCTGAATTAGTGAGCACTGGTCCGACCTGGTTACTCCTCTGCTTAAAATGCTTCAGTAAGTGTGTCTTGTTTAAAAAATGTTCACACACTTTATTTTGGTACTCAAGGAGGGCCACTCTCTATTTCCAATCTACTAATGCAAGTCTGTTTCCCAGGCCTTTTGTTTTATTTTTGTATTAGGTTTCAACCTGAATGTATTTTTTTCAGTCTATTCTTTATGCCAGTGATTGCTTGACAAGCTTTTTAAAAAAACATGTATATTCTTGGGTCTTGGAACAGACTTACGGAATCTTAACCTTGAAGTAGGGGTGTGGCTAGCAGTTTCCTTTTCTTAGGGGATTGTGAGACTGTTGTGGCGCGAGAGAACCGAGAGACCACCAGAGGCAAATTAAAATCAAGTAGAGAGCAAAGCTGGTCGGCAACTGATCCCGAGTTCTTGGAGACCAGCCCTAGGGCCTCCAAATGTTGTGGTGTGACAGTCAAAGAAAGACCACTAGAGAACTGAAGTCCACATAAGAGCCGTTTATTAGCTGGCCGGCACCTGATTCCGAACAGTCCTGTGACAGGGTCTTTGGAATCAGCTCCGATATTACATGCCTTTTATACCTTACAGAAAATAGAATCTTCTTGATATAATGCCCAGGGCCACAGCAATGCTGTATAGAATTAATTTGCCTTATGGATAGCAGGAACACCCATAAACACCCAGGTGCACCCAGGAACACCCAGGTATTTAAAGGTACATTGGGTCACACTTAGCCCCGAGCTGCACAAACATAGTGCAAGCCTGATTCCCTGAGATTGTGTGGGAGGTCGAGTCTCTGACTCAAGACCTCCAGGCTCTGTGGACTCTGTTAGACACGTAGCCGGCTACCTACAATTTCTTGGTTCAGGGAGTGTTCCAATTTACTGAGGTTATTTTGACTAACCAGGTTCCGCTAGAGGGCATACTGTGACTTTCCCAATCATCAATTATGGAGCAGCACAATAATTTACCAGTCATCAACTATGGGGTTATAAACATGCCAGCACAATACAGATTATTAATGGACCACATTATGAAGAACATAGTTTTATGGCTTTTTGTTCATGCTGTTCCTTCTTTCTGGAAGACTGCAGTAATCTGAGTTGACCACCCTTTAAAGCCTAGTTGACAAATCTAATCTGTCCCTAATTGCCTAAGTTTAGGGTCACTCTAAGTGTGAACTGTTAGAGCATTCCTCTCATGCATCATATCCTGCCTTTGCTGTTTTGTCCATCAGAGTTTCTAAGTTTTTTGAAGCCAGGGACCTTGCTTAGACTTCTATTTATTGCCTGTAAGATGAAGGGCAGGCTGTTATACATAGTAGGTATTCAGTGAATATTTTTTATTTATTTTTTTATTTTACAAGGGGAGAGAGCGAATGCAGTCCCCACTACCACAAACCATGCAGTGAGTTCCCCACCTTTGGGGAGATCGCAGGGGTCAGCACATCCGGAGTACAATGGACAAGCCTCGCCCTGGGGAACCACCTTCCTGATCACGGCATCTCCCCTGCCAGGTAAGTGTTCAGTGAATATTTTATTCACAAAGAAAAATAATACAATCCACTGATATTATTAAATTTGGATGTAAAATATAAATCAGTGAAATAGATTTCCCTAATACCAATCTCCACTGCACATTACTAATTTATGTATTCATATTTAGTCAACTGTAATTACAAGTTCATAATTATACCTTTAAACAAATTTATTGAGCTACATTGAAATTCAAATCTATAGACACGGGTGGGAGGGGGAACTTATCTTTATGTGTATTTTTATTATAAACATAAAAATCTTAGAATCTCATTTTATTGGTTGAAAAAATTGTTATACTCAAAGTTGGTTAGCAAAAAGAAATGCGAAGTTTAAAAACTTTTTTAGACAGTTTCTCCAAGAAATCTTACGTTTTGGGACTTCAGCCTGATTGATTAAAATATTTTTAAAGGCTTATAAAATTCATATTTCTTACTGCTTTTAGTTTAATTTTAGCAGCTTAGGTATATAAAAATGGTTTTTCTTTCCTCCTGAAGGGGGACACAGAACTTGAAACACATTTGCCTTTCAGGCAATTCCCTTTTCTTTAAAGTGTAAATACCACCTCTGCTACTGAACAAAGTGTAAAATGTAACCAGCTACAAGCCTCATTTTTTTATTTCCATGCCTTTGAATCTACATCAAAATTGCCATACATCTGCTACCAGTGTGCCACAGAATGTACTTTTATTAACATTCTATCTTCTAAGGAAAATACATAAAACTTTTTCTATGGTCATGAATGTTTTTACTCCAAATTGTCCCTGGGTCCTTGGATGTCCATGAGGCTATAGAATTAGTTCTCCTTGAGGATATGAGAGGTAATTCAACTGATTACTCTGCAGTTTAGATTGCCAGACACCAGGATGATTGGGGGCTTTGTGTTTACGATCTCATTCCTGAGCACCTCTTGTACTCTGTTTTCCAAGGTGCAAAGGGCTGAAAGGGTATGATGCTGCAATGCAGTCGGTAGCTGACTTGCACATTTAGACCAGGGTGCTCAAAGCAGAGAAGATGGGAGAAGCACTATTGGTCTTTGTTGATTATCTTAGCCTTGAGTTCTATTAGGTGTTTTTGCTGGCTTTGAGATTAGATTTCTCCAACATGCTCTTTCTGTCAGAGAGTAAATATGCTGCCTATTATCACTGTCAGGAGGTGCGGAGGAGACAGCCAATCTCCAGGATAACTGCAAGTGGAGGATCACACGCACTCTGCTGTCTTCCACAGTGTATTTGCACAAACCCAGTGCCTCCAGTGACACCAGCTTATTAGCCCCAAGACCTCCTTCTCTCTCATCATTGATTATCTCTGAAGTGTATGATTATCGAATGAAAGGAAAAGCATTTGGATGTAAAGAAATATTTGTTTCCATGATCAAATAGTTTGTGCATGATTGAATCATTGACCTTTTGACCACCAGATTAAACAATTTGTAGTATAAGCAAATAGAGGGACCTTTGTGTGTTGAAAATGAATTTGTGAGAACAGAGGGAAAGAGGTATCAATGGAGCATGAAGAACATTGTCAGTGTTACTCAACCTTACTAGGGACAGAGATCTGAGGAAAGTCTAACAAAATGTTCAGTGTTGTGAGGGACACCATAGGTGTCTAGTCTTGTGATTTACCACTTTGACTGCACACTAAAATCATGTAGGCATTTTTCATATTGACTTATTGAATATAACGTACAAATCATGAATGTTTAGTTCATTTAATTTCACAAAGGTGAATACAATATACCCATGTAACCACTACTAGATCGAGAAACAGAACAATCCTAGCTTTGAGCCCTCGTGGTCTTCCTAGTCATTATTACCTCCTTAGAGAAGTAACCCCGGCCCTGACTTGGAATACTATAAAATTATTTTTGCTTATTTTAGATATTTACTTCCATGAAATAATATATTGTGCTCTCCGTGTCTTTCTTTTTTCCCTCAACACTGTGAGAGACTGTAAGAAGAAGTAATACATTCATTTTCATTATCTAATTCTCCATTTATGAATATGCTACCATTTATTTACTTGTTTTACTATAGATGGACATTTGGATTAATTGCAACTTTTGACTATTGCAAATAGTGCTGACAAAAATATTACTTAATGAGTATTTTGGTGAATACTTGTAATAATTTTGTTGGGCATGTGTCTAGGAATGGAATTGCTTGCTGGACCAAGGGATATGTATTTGTTCAGTTTAGTGAACACAACCACTCATTTTCCAAAGTAGTCATTCTAATCTACACTTAATTTCTAGTTACTCCCCATTCTTACCCAACTAGGGACTTAAAAAAATTCCAGCACCTGAGGTCCACCTGGACTATCTACCCTAGAACAATTAAATCAGAATTTTGGGTGTAAGACCCCAAAACTGGTATTTTTAAAAATCTCCCCAGATGGCACTAATGTGCACCAAAGAAGAGAACCAACAATCAGCACTATTCAGGTGAGGTAATTGTGGTATGAAGAGTTGAGATGTTTTATCCAAGCCACCTGGAGAGGCCCAGGGCTAGATGTCAAGTCTCCTGACTCCTGCGCCAGGCTTTTTCTTCATAGCCAGTCTAAAATAGAGGTACTTCATTATTATTCCATTCTCATACAGTGAAAATGAACATTGGCTTAGCTGTATATTTAGAGTATGTTCTTGTTTTTTACAAAGTAGTTTTTCAGGCTCTGTGAGATAGAGCAGGTATGCAAGACCAGCATAATTGAAATGTGAGTCTCCTTTTTCAAAAATGATTAATAATTTCCAGACAATGACACCAAGGCATTAAAGCAATCATGGGGGCCCTGGCCAGTTTGCTCAGTGGTTAGAGCATCAGCCTTCGGTCCAGAGAGACCCGGGTTCGGTTCCCGCTAAGGGCATGTACTTCAGTTGCGATTTGTCCCCAGCCCTGGGGTTGGGTCGTGCGGGTGGCAACCACTCAATATGTCCCTTTCACGTTAATGTTTTTCTCTCTCTCTTCCTCTCTGTCCCTCCCACTCTATCTGAAAAAAAATGGGAAAATGTCCATTTTTAAATAAAAAAAAGAAAGCAACCATGGGGCCCTTCAACAAGTGGGATTGCACACCCATGAAGCTGACCCTATGGGTGTTATTATTTGCAAGTTACAGATCAGAAAGTAAGGCTCAGCAGCTTTGTTAGTCATCAGTTATTAGTACAGTCTGGTCTACTGATGCTTGCTTTTCCTTTCTGGACAAGAAGATGAATCTGTTCATTTTATCTAGGATTTTCTAAGATAAAATAAATAAAAACAATACAGACTAAACACAAACTCCTATAGAGGGAGAACATTGTTTTAAAAAAGGAATGGGGGATCATTTTGAGAAAGGAGTAAAGAATAAACTTGAGGAAATGAGATCCAACTAACTGCTATCAAAGCTGCTGCCCAGGCAACTTGTCTTCAGAACATTCTATGGACATCTCTGCTCTGTTTACTGAGACATCTGGCTGATAAACTCTTATCTAGATGTTTGGACCCTCCCAATAGGTACTTTCATAAACTTGGTGTTGGGGGTGGTGGACAAAACAGATAGAAATATCTACTCAGCTTCCTGTGGTAAAATCTTGTAATAATACATGGAGATATGACAGAACTGAGGATATTAGGGTGGACCCTAACCCAAATGGGCATAGAGTTGAAAAAATATTGTGAGAAGTAACTCTCAATTCAAGGTGTTTTATGACAAAGTATGAATAATGAAAACCTACCCCTACCATTTCTAATCAATCTATTCCACACCACAACCCTTCCCCCGCCCCCAAGTTATTCTTATAAGCCTATGACTAGAGGTATGTTGCAAAAACTAGAGGTAAGTTGTAATCAATGAGCTATGTTATCAGACATCTATCTAATAATAGGGGGTAATTACTGATCAATTCTGGTACCTATGAAGTTTCTCTTTGTCTCTTTTTAGTTATTTAAGCATATTTGTGAATGTCAAGAAGTAATATGTTAACTAATACTTTTTTCTTGAAATGGTCTATGTTTTTATGAATGGCTTCAGCTGAATTAGTTTGTCTCCTGAACACATGTAAGACCATTTCTGACTTGTGCTACTGTCCCAAACTCAGACCCTTCTAGCCCATCCATATGATAAGAGTAAGGACTTAGGAGTCAGAACTCAAGACTTAAACCCAAGCCACCAGATAGTTAAGAGGTCTATGGCCCTTAAAAATCACTTACCTTCCTTTACCTTTATTTTCTTCATCATCAAATGGGATGTTGTAGGCTGAATTGTACCCCGACTCCAACTTTATATGTTGAGGTCCTAACTCCCAGTACCTGGAAGGTAGGCTATATTTGGAGAAAGGGTTTTTAAAGAGATACTGCGGGTTAAATGAGGACTTTAGGGTGGGTCGTAATCCAATGTGCCTGGTGTCCTTATAAAAAAGGGAGATTAGGACATAGACACTCACAAGCAAAGACCATGTGAAGACAGAGGAAGAAGAGAACCAACTATAAGCCAAGGAAAAGGGCCTCAGAAGAAATAAACTCTGCTGACACCTTGATGCCTGACTGCTAGCCTCCTGATCTGTTGTTTAACCCACCACATCTGTGGCACTTGGTTATGGCAGCCAGCCCCAGCCAACAAATACAGGGATAATATAATAGCACTGACGCCAGAGATTGCTTTGTGGAGTAGAAGGAGCGGGCATCTTGGTCAGCTGTGACGTGGAGTGGATGTCAGTGACTGCTATAGCACGCTGCCTACCTGTCTCGCTTTACCTTCATCCTCATCCCACTCTCCATTCTCTCCTTTAATACAGAGCATGGCTCCTGAAAAAGACTTAATTCAAAAGTGAAAGAACTACGCCATTAGGTATTTCTCCCATGAAATTGGTACGTATATCAACATACTTGTATTTTAAATCTAAATAAGAAGCCTCAAGTTGAGGGGTCAAATCCAAATAACCACCAGATATAAATGTACTCTCAGCTCTAATCTCCTCTGACTTGCACCTGTTTCTGCTTACTCCCTACTCTTGTC